GTTCTTCTGTCTAGGCGGTCCATTCCACAAATTGTTGTCGTCGTTTTTTTTAGTAAGCCTATGTGTCTTGTGTAATGTGAAATCAAGGTGACTTTGTTTAAAAAAAAGATACAAGTTTGGACTTCCTTTAGTGAACTGAATTAGTTGCCTGTGCAGAACCTATTGTAATATTAAGAATCTATTGAAATTATAACATTTATCACCATTTTCAGGTAGTTTTATATTATAGTTTTTAAGGAAAGCCAAAATCATAACAGAGGTTTAGGGATGCTGCTAAACTCGCTTTTCCAATGTGCCACTTTTGCTTTTGACAGACCATTATTATTATTGACCGTTATTATTGCGCTGCCATCGCTGGACCGTACCACTAATAAAAGATGGGTCTATGGCCCATCTTCTATCGGTACGCAGACCTATCCAATTGTTCATAACCACAATTAATTAATTCGTCGTCAGGTTTTGGTGCCGGTACTTTTTCGCTAGAACCAGGGGTAGCGAGAATCATTTTTGGATACCAACACATCACTATTTACAACTTAGTTATCGTTGATTTTGCACCTTTCTTACTATCATATTAAATTTAATTGTAATTTAATGTCTTACTGTATAAGATTTGCGTTTTCTGTCTTTGTTCCACATCTTATGCGTTTATAATATGAATATTTTAACACATTTTAGCAAACCGTCATGAATTGTTACTTACCAACCTTTAGGGCCTAGTGGTGACATTGGTGGGTGGAAGTCTAATTTAGTACATTACAATTACGTCAATGACCTTGAGCTCTGCTACTAAGATGCCGTGGTATGGTGGCGTATCGGGGAGAAGGGTAAAGGGTTTAATTATTGTTCATGCTTACTCATTCGCTCTTACCCACAAACAAACTTATTTCAAGCCTAAAATGAAGAATGAAGATCTAACTTCTATACTCGTTTGGAAAACGTCAGTCTTAGAGGCAAGTCTAGACTGTTCCTCTTCCTGCGCGGTCCATTTCACAAGTTACTGTCTTCACTACTTTTTTTAGTAAGCCTATGTGTCGATTATGTATCTTGTGCAATGTAAAATCAAGATGACGTTGTTCAAACTAAGATATAAGTTTGGACTTCCTTGTGTGACCAAAATAGTAAAGGTTCTACAAAACAAAACATTGAATAGTAAAAATACATTTATATTTAAAGTAACAGATGGATTGACAAAATTGTAAAACTATTTTATAATATCAAACGATATAAAATTATTTACAGTATCACGGTTAAAACTTTAAAACTAATCTTGTTATGACTCAAAGTTAACATCTTCAGGACCTTTCATTTTATGCTTTTGTTAGTGGATACTGGTTAAAACACCACAGTAGGTTTTGCAAATATGATTGTGAGATGATATATAATCTGAACTAGTTTATGCATGTTGATAATAATATGTATTTTAATTTAAGTACTTTTATTGATTCGGTTATATGTTTACCTCATATAACATTTGAACATGGATTGAAATATTAGATGTCTTTGGAATACTCTGAGAGTGAGAAGCAAAACATAACTTTCAGCAATGATGCATCTAAATCTACCTTTACTGTGTGATTCAGAAATGTAATTGTAAAATATTTTGTCAACATGACTAGAATGTTAATAAAATAGAAGTATCAGCACGAAATAGTTTGTAAGATAAAAAATTGCAGCATAGGGCAAATTATATAGTGTTCTAACCTAAACCATTGTTATTGTTTCAATGTAAAAATGCAATTGGTACAAAGTAACTACGTTACCAACTTATGTTTGTAAATAAAAATATAAATTTTAAATGGTGGCATAAAAACAATTTAAATAATTATTTACTACACACATTATTTGTAATGTAAAACATCGTTCTCCCCTCGGAGCAAAAGTATATTATTTATGGACAATTGTTTTATAGTACGTGGCAGTACAGTATTATTAGTTTATTAGTTGCTTGTTGCACTTTTCTACACACTGCTCAAGTGCTAAAACTCATTAAGTGGCATCCTGTACACACACTGTTGATATATACTGAATTGCGGCATGGTGCCACAATTAAAAACTAGAGTGTAGGCTGTCGCGAGAATTGGCAACGCAGCATTAAGAAAGTTGTAGTTCCGGTGGACAACGCGAGGCGCGCTAGCTGCTGGCATGGTTTCGTGTTCCACAATTCGGCGTGTGCCTGCGCTACTTAAACACACATTGACGAGATGAAAAATACTATATTGTGGCATGTGATGTTTAAATGACGTAATAATGCTGGAAAACCCCAAAAATGATCAAATTAACTGTGTCATCCTGAAAAAGGTGCCACAATTTTTCAAGGTGCCACAGTACGGGCGTGTGCCTGTGAAGGATGCCACTATTCGGTGAATACAGACACACACACACACACACACACAGACATCACTTTGAAAACCACTTTTTTGGGTTCAGGGGGACCCAAAACGGATATCACTTACTTACTTACTTACTACCGTGGCTCTTGGTACCGAAGGAGGTACTTTGCCTCGCGAACACACTGCCTCCAGACTGCACGATCCACTGCTTCATCCTTCTTCCCATTCTTCTCAGGTCTCTTCTCACTTGATCTCTCCACCTCAACTTTGGCCTTCCAGGAGGTCTTCTACCCTCGGGGTTGTTGTTTAGGATGTTTCTCTCTAAGGAGCCCTCTTTCTTAACACATGGCCTGCCCACCTCAATCTTCTACTTCTCACCTCAGCCACAATATCCGGGTTCCTGTACAACTCTCTCAACTCCCTGTTGTGCTTAACTCTCCATTCTCCATTTTCAAAGGTTCCAAAGATTTTCCTTAGAATCTTGTTTTCGAACACTATAAGTCGTTTCTCGGTTCTCTTCCTTATCCTCCAATTCTCTGAGCTGTATAGGAATACTGGTCTTATTATAGTTTTGTATATACGGATTTTAGTTTTCTGTGAAAGTAGGCGAGAACTTAACAATTTTTGGCATGCCGATAAACTTTTATGTGCTGCATTTAATCTTTGCTGGATTTTTCATTATTATTTGTCAGCATTACTCCTAGGTAAGAGAAATTGTTTACTTTATAAAATTTGTGTCCTTCTATTTCTACATGATTTTTATTATTTAATTGGGTAGCTCTTCCACATTCCATTATCATGGTTTTGTCTTCATTGATATTTAAGCCTACTTTTTAGTATCGTTTATGAGTTTTGAGACCATAACTTTTAGTTCTTCTTCGTTTTTGTAAACAAGTGCCACATCATCTGCAAATGCCAGGATATTTATGTTGGTCCCCATAGTAATTCCAGCTTCTAGCTTTTGTAACTCTTGTAGAGAGTCTTCCAGAGCTAGGTTGAATAGCAATGGGGACAAACCATCTCCTTGTCCCACACCAGTATTTATATCAAAATCCTCTGAGACTTCTCCATTGACTTTAACTTTGCATTTAGATCCTGATACAGTTGACTTTGATAGATTTATTAACTTTTAGGTATTCCATACTTTTTTTTCCATTACGTTCCAAAGTTTTCTCCTAGTGATCGAGTCATACGCTTTGGAGAAGTCAATGAAAAGGCAGAGAAAGGATTTGTTGAATCCATAATATTTGGCAATTGCCTCTTTCAGTATAAAAATTTGGTCCGTGGTTGATCTTCCTCTTGTGAAGCCGGCTTGATGGTCTCCTATGATATTTGATGTAGATGTATATTCCTCTAGTCTTTTTTGTAAAATCTTTGATAGTACTTTGTAGGTGCAGTTGAATCCCCAAAACCCTATATCCACGACGGATAAGTTTCACGACAAAGATGGAGTAAAATTGACCCCTAGATATTTATAGTTGTTTACTACCTCTATTGTTTTGCCTTTGTACCACCATTAACAATTTGTTCCAAGCCTCCCTCCTTTCCTAAATACCATGACTTTTGATTTATTTAAATTGAGATTGAGGTTCCATATTTCACAGTTATTTTCTAGCTTATTTATCATGTGCTGCAGACCTGTAGCTGTCGGAGATATAATCACTATATCGTCTGCATACATCAGCATATTGACTCTCTGACCACCAAAGTTGCACCCACCTTCTAACACTTCTGGCAGATCAATAATGAATGATGAAAAATTAATAGGGCTGATTAGACATCCCTGTCTTAAACCCATGGAGGTGTTGAAGCTGTTGGTTATTTCTCCAGGAACCCATATTGACGCCGTGGTTCCTGAGTAATTGTTCTTCAATATAGTTAGTAATTTTGTTAATAAGCCTAAATATGATAATTTGAACATTCATTCATAACATTCAAATTCATATATTTATATATATATATATATATGTGTCCGTTAGCATAATAACCCGAGCCACAATGATCCCATTTTGATGAAATTTGGTACAAACGTGTAAACCTACATTTATTCAAACGTGTTAGCAAACCAGCATGATCGGACTATGGAAACAGGTTTAGGGGGAGTTTTATAGGGTAAAAATTGGTTTTCCCATTTTTGACCCTAAAAACATAAAATTTAACCATTTCTTTCCAAACCATTTTGTAGAGCTTAAAAAAAAAAACAAATAATTATTAATATGTTTATGCATTATCATGCGCCTAATAGTTACAAGGGAAATTAAAAAACAAATTAGGCTAAATTCTAAATTCCCATGTTATTCTTATGGAGAAAAAGTAAACTGTTGTAGTTTACTTGTTAATGAACATATGTTGATGAAATTTGGAAAATGCATTTCTTTCATACTAAACTATTAACATAAAAAAAAAACTTTTTTACTCTTCTATTGCACCAAACCTAAGTACTCGTTAACTAATGCTATTTAAATAGGGGATAAATGTGATATTTTAAGGAGACATTTTAGTGGAAATCCAATTAAGCAAATGGAAATTGGCTTACTCTGCAGGTTTGCTGCAGTGGGGGTATTTTTATATAAAACAGATTATAAAATATTGAATTAACAGGAATAATAATAAATTTAACTCTTGAATATGTAACATTCATGTTGTTAAATAACCTATATTTTTCAGATCTGAGGCTGAGTCCCATTCAAATACCTCACTCTCCTCTTTTCTTCAGAAGTGGAGGTCAGGATGATGGGCGGAAAGTAAGTTATCAATTCTATTATAAGACTTTACTTCCAATCAAATTTAATGATTCAAATATAGAAGCCCCATTTAAAACCGTCACCAATTATTTAATACGAGGACCCTACTATGTGCGTATTTTAACCAAAATATGAGTGAAGGGTGAGTATAGGATGAGTGGCTCGATCTTGTAGTCTTGTTAGTGACAAAGGCCGACTAAGGGACCTACAGTTTATAGTGGAATCCGAACCAGATTTTTTCCTTGTGATTAATGAATTAGTCTAATTATCATTATAGCACTGCGTATAGTCGTAGTACTCACTAGTGCGGACGTTAATCCACAACAGGGAGCATCGCATCCACAGTGCATACCTATAAATATCCACAATTCGCGACCTCATAGTGCTGGATTACAGGACGACGCCACCGTCCCAGTCTAGTAAAACTACAACTTCTTCATTGCTTCTTAGCTAAAATTCAAACCTTCAGAAAATATTGTAAACCTGCAACCAACTGTTTTGTATAGTGGCAAGAAAGAAAGAGGCCCACTTACAGTATATCAAATTTAGTCTTCTTAAATATGAATTTACAGTAGAGAGTTGATTATCCAAAACAATAGGCATTAGATGTTTCTGGATTACTGATTTTTCGGATAATCTGACATTAACAGGAAAAATTATATACATTTTTTTTACTTTGTAAAACTTGTTAAAATTTTTATGTCATACCATTCTTTGTTCTACAGCAGACTACAATGTGTAGTAAGATGTACATTTTTTAAATAAATTTGAATTTATATAGCAACCAAATTTATTGGTATACGTTTTGATGTATTTTTTGACTTTTTTTTGCCATTTCCATGTATTTTCTATGTACCAACTTCCACTTTCACTGTCAAGCACAATTGTTTTATAGCTTTGAGATTCTTTTTAACCCTCGAGCTGGCATGCGCCCGATATCGGGTGATTTACGCCGTGGCCGAAATGGCAGCGCCCGATATCGGGCGCATTTACAACATCACGGAAATCGCCAACTTTAGCATGAAAATGAAACTAATATCACTTAATATGAAATCGTCAATATGCGTGATTCAATCAACTCGATATCATAGACGATCAGTAAATATAAAATATCAGAAATGACAAAAATAAATGTGAACAAAAACCAAACCACATTCTTTATTTTTCATACATCAAACAACACACTAAAACTATTATTTGTTTTTAACCAAAAACAATTTAAAAACATCTGACTGTTTATTTATCTATATAAGAAAACAGTCTTTTGGCAATCAAATAAGAATATTATATTGAGGTGTTTTCTTTGTAAATGATTTATCATCGTACGTCAATCATCCCCCCCCCCCCCCCAAAACCCTCAATATATTTTAAATCTTCCTCTTTCTAGACCTTAAGTTATACACAGGTAATGCATCGTTATGGTCTTCTGCTTCTAGTTCATCATCTTCGGCTTGAGTTGCTTCACGGAGAGTTTGCGGGAGTATTTTCAACTCCGACATGTGTACCTTAATTGGTGGATCAGACCTCAAGAGGTACACTCCCTTCCCTAGCTTGTGTTCCACCTCAAAAGGTCCAAGCCATTTCCGTGCCATCCCTGCATGCACATTTTTAAGCTTACTACTCAAGGGATGGTTTCGCTGAAGAACCAACGTACCCGGTTTCAGGTCCTGCTCTTCAGGTACATCGTTTCTCTCAGCTTCCCTCCTCGAACTCTCTTCAGCTTGTTGATTCATATGTTTGATTTGTTTCACGTTTTCTTCATGCCATGCAGTCAAATTCATAGTTTCAGGAGACTTTTCATGCATGAAGTTCCAATCACCAGTTCTTTTTATTTCCCGACCAAGAAAAAGTTCTGCTGGGGAGAAGCCTGTCACGCGATTCACTCGCTGTCTGATGGCAAGGAGAGACTCATGCAAGTGTTGATCCCATTTGGTATGTTCTTTGTCAAACAAATGAATCCTGAACAGCTTCTTAAGCTCGTGATTTCTCCGTTCAGTAGGATTTGCCTGAGGATGGTAGATTGGTGTTGTCCAGTGTTCAATAGCCCATTCAGTTAAAGTCCGCAACCATTGTTTTGACGTGAACGGACTGCCATTGTCCGTGAGAAGACATCGTAGATAACCATAACGACTAAAGACCTCTGTTCGTAGGATCTGTAGAATTCTTCCCGACGTAGCTTCAGGAACGGCAAATGCTTCGACCAACCTGGTAAAAAGGTCTGTCACCACCAAAATTCCAGTCTTCCCTCGAGATGTTCTGGGATATGGTCCCATAAGATCTAGAGCAACAACCTCCCACGGCTGGTGTGACCGACGTACTCTCATGCTTGTACTAGCTTTTTGGTTGTTAGCCTTGGTACAGGCACAGATAGTGCAGGATTGGACGTAGTTCTTGATGTCCCGATGCATATTTACCCAGAAGAAACGACGCCGAATCGAAGTGTAGGTGTCGTCTTGTCCTGGATGGCCAGCTTCAGGGCTGTCGTGGTACTTCTCTAGAATCCTTACAGCCTGACACTTCGGAACTAAAATCACAGGAGAAGATTCTGATAGATGAGATTTGTACATAAGTAAACTGTCTTCCAAGCGAAGGTTCTTATAGCATGTCTTGAACTGGAATGGGACAGCTTCGGAATTAGTGTAACGTTTGGTTATCCAGGATTTCATTCTACTACAAGCTGCATCTTCATTCTGCCATTTCTTTATCAGTTCCAAGTCAATGTCACAATTTTCCCGTTGTGCCACCATAAGAACAGGCTCAATCCGTCTTAACTTCATTGGGACTGGAACTTCCCTCTCCATGAGTTCTTTGGATATCTCACCACTGTCTACCGGATTTCTTGACAAGCTATCAGCGGCTTGATTTAACTCTCCTGGGACGTGATTTATTTCAAAGTCAAAATCAGCCAAAATTAAAGACCATCGCATCAGTTTTGACTTGGTCCCAGATACTTTGTTTAACCACTGTAGCGATGAATTATCAGTGAATAATTTAAATTTTCTTCCCTCGAGATACCCCCTGAATTTCCCTACTGCCCACACTACCGCTAGAGCCTCCTTTTCAGCTGTACAATAGTTTTTCTCAGAAAGGGAAAGTTTCCTGCTTGCATATTCAATGATATCCTTGCCTCCTTCTATCCGCTCTTGAAAGAGAACAGCCCCAAGACCTACATTACTGGCATCTGTCTGTAAGCATATTTCCCGACTGGGGTCCAAATAAGCTAATCCCGGAGAGTCACAGATGGATCTCTTTATCTCCCTGAAAGCTTTCTCTTCCGTCTCGGTCCATTTAAAAGGTTTATTTTTAATGAAAAAAGTCAGTTAGAGATGAAACCATGGATTCAAAATGAGGTACCAACCGCACAGGCCCAAAAACTGTCAAACTTTACGCTTCATACCAGGTCTTTCGTACTCTTCAATAGCCTTGTTTTTCTCAGTTTGCCTCTCTAATCCTTTAAATAAATAAATAAAAATGCCTTTATTTATCAAGCGTTTCTCAGTACAAATACTGCTTCTCAGAACAACTTTTGCCTGTTAACACATGACCCAAATATTCTACTGAGTTTGACGTAAAGTGACATTTCTTCACCTGACAGGTAAGTCCATGAATTTTCAATCTTTCTAATACTCTAGCCAAATGTTCCAAATGATCAGAAAATGTTTTGCTGTAAACTAGTATATCGTCCAAATAAACTTGACAAAATTCACCAACATAACCTGACAAAACTTTGTCCATCAGACGCATGAATGTTGCTGGAGCATTTTTCAATCCAAAGGGCATAACACGGAATTGATATAGTCCCCTTGGTGTTGAAAAGGCAGTCATAGGCCGAGATGATTCTTCTACCTCTATTTGCCAATAGCCAGAATTCAAATCTAAAGTGCAAAATACTTTGGCCCCACTAACTTGCTTAATCAGATGTCGTAGATCAGGCATTGGGTAAGCATCAGCAATAGTTTTATTGTTGACTTGACTTAAATCCACACAAAGTCAGTCTCCGTTCTTCTTTTTGGGTAGTACTATTGGTGAAGCCCATCCTGAAGGTGACGGTTCAATTAGTCCTTGATTTTCCATTTCCTTTACTTTTTCTATGACAAACTTCCGTTTGTCAGGGTTAAGAGGGTAAGGTTTCTGTTTGACAGGTGTTTTATCTTTACAAGAGATCATATGTTTTACCGTAGTAGTGAACCCAATTCTGTCTGTAATTACCTCTGGAAAGATACTGAGTAAATTAATCAAGTCTGTTCTTTGATTGAGATCCAAAATTCCCATTTTCAGTTCATCCAAAACGTTGTTTTCTAATTCTGCTCCCAAATCAAAGTGTTTGTCCTCTAACCATCCCAATCTAACTAGATTTTTAATGCCAAAAATTATTTAATTTGCTGTGTAATCTATCAACACACCGTATTTAACAAGGAAATCATGCCCTAGTATGATTTCCGGGATTAAATCCTTAATCACTTTTATGAAATGAAAATGAAATGAAATGAAATGAAATGAAAATGAAATGAAATGAAATGAAAATGAAATGAAATGAAATGAAAATACTTTTTTATTGAGGCGAACATTAGGACCACATGGTCCTTTCTTACAGTTAACCTCTTATGTACTAAATATATACTAAACAATGTATTTTTACAAAACTTTTAAAACTATAAACAAAATAATAAGTAAAAACTAAAGTTTTACTGGAATGTGAATAGATTCTTGAGAACATTTGGCTTCAAGAAAAGTAAATCCTTCGATTTTGTAATTTATATCTTGTACTGCACCTTTGACAACAGTTACACCGTCTGGACAAACAGGTTTTAACAATTTAGCCACTGTCATGCCAATAAACGAATGTGATGCTTGAGTATCAAGGGCTGCAGTATAATATTTGTCACCAATCTGTAAACTAATTGCCGGACGGGGATTACCCACACACTCACTAGAAATTTGACCAATATAAGTTTTTTCTGACTGGTAGTTTTGGGACTTAAAAACTCTTCTAGAACCAT